AAAATAAGTATACTAAGAAAGATCTGAACTTACTTACTTACTCATGGAGCTGAGCCCTTCTGGAGGAGCCGCCAATTCTGCAGCTACTCAAGAATTTCCCAGCATTTTATGGAACCCGAAGGTTCATTGCCGTGTTCACAAGAGCCCTCCACTGGTCCCTATCCTGAGCCAGATCTATCCAATCCATATCATATCATCCTATCTCTCTAAGATCCATTCTAATATTGCCCACCCACCTACGCCTTGGTCTTCCCTGCGGTCTCTTTCTTTCTGGCTTTTCCACCAATATCTTATACGCATTCCTCGTCTTCCCCATTCGTGCTACATGGCCTGCCCACCTCATCCTCCTGTGAACACTGGGACAAAATAGGATTGACTATGTCAGAAGCCGAAACATAAACTATCAATGCGGTATCCAAGAAAGATGATAATGGCGAATACAAGAATGATAAAATGGGACTACTACATGTATCACGAATGGCGTTCGATCGGACTATACGAGTACCAGTATCAGGAGGGTACTATCCTGGAAGACAGCACAAAAAATGGCAACATTCACACTCTGGAGAAGACAGATCTATAGCATAAAGTATAAAAGGGATACGATATTTTGATGGGAATTCAATCATAGAAATAATCACTGAAATTTAATCGGTTGTTAATTTCATCATTAAACTTAAAGATCAACTTGAGATTCATGTTTCAGGATGTTGTGAACCACTGAATTAATCTCAAATTGCTACTGTAGCTTCCAAAATATTGTGCTCTCGCCATATTTTTTAATGATATGTTATTTTTAAGTTATGATTCCCCCTCATTCCGATAACGACACATGAAAGTACATTTAACTTTCTCTGCGACTGCCATTTCCACCGTAAGATTTACGCATTTGCCCAACAAAGAAACATCACGGGCGTAGACCAGACGTTGATGTGTCCCACTGAGCTTCAGCTCCTCTGATTTTCATGGGTTTTTATACTAACGGCAATGGAGCAAGCAACCACAGCCACGTTCACTTTTCAGTAACAATTCTTGTGAATGCTCAGCAATCTACAGGGACCCTCAACCACTGGATGACCAAAAATATATTTATTACAATGTTTCCTAGATTAAGGAAAGGGCTTCGTTAGTTGAAAGTATCTCCTTAAGCAAAAATTACACGTAATTATCTTTTAATTTAATAACAACATTTAACGACACAGAACTGAGATGGTTCCTACAACATAAATAACAGCAATAAAGGTAAACCTGCAGTACAAGTATGTGCATATGTTACAAAGAATACTAATTAGTCTGAAAAGAACCGTACTAATTAAATCAGATTAAGACGGAAGAAAGTGAACACGTGGTAGCATAGTTGGTCGAGGCACTGTGCTACAAGAGGGAAGGTCGCGGGTTCGGTTTCCGACGAGATAATAGGATTTTTGAAATTGACAATTCTTCCAGCCGCATTATGGCCCTGGGGTCGACTCATCCTCTAATCGAAATGAGTACCAGGAACCTTCCTGGGGGTAAAGGGCAGCCAGAGCGTGAGGCTGACAACCTCACCGCAATCTGTGAGCCGATTGTCTAGAAAATGTGGGATTCTCGACGTCTCACAACTGTATGCACCTCCACGGCCTGTTATAGAAACAGCTTTAACTTTACATTTACGAAGTAAGAAAGGAACAAGTATATTAATATATAGAAAAGTCACGATATGGCACAATTCGACATCGATAGGGGCTGATTCACTGATAAAGTTAAATCTAATGGTTTGGATTGATGATTGGTGTCTGAAATGTCGCTGGGTTATTAGCGACAATTAACTGTATGTAAGGAAAATATAATAATAACTCTTCCGAACTCAATGGAAACATTCGTTACCGGCATTGAACGTTCGTGCTACACTGTGTTAGCGTATTGAGTTTACTCAAAGTGTGCACAAACAATTCAAGGACTAGATCGCAAAAAATATATTTCAATTTGCTCACCACAAATATCCAGAAGTGCTTGTTCAGAGGCGTTCAGCGTTTCTAGAATAAAATGCCACATCAAAACCACCGGAAAGAATCGGTTTCAGTAACAGGCCTACTCCACCGTCAACACTGAAACGTTATTTCAGAAATCCATTGCAATACCAACAGTACACACTGTACAGGTGCTGACTGCGATGATCAGTAAATGATAAAATGATTGAATCAGTATAGGCGAGAGCTATACTGAGATACATGAGCCTACGTTCGCAACCGATTGAAATACGAGTTCGTAAACCATGTACGTATCTGTTTGAGTTTGTAAAAATAATTGTTTCAACACAAGCACATCATAAACAGAACAAATCAATTTTTACGAATACAAAGAAAGATTTTGTTGCTATTTTCTAGACTAAACTGCATAATATCGGTTATTCCAAGTGTAAACTTCATGATTCTTCATAAAGTCTTATTTCACCATAAGACATTTCTGCACACTTCACAAAAACAAATAAATACATTTGATAACAATGTGGAGCTTTAAGTCTCGGCTCTTTTATATTCCAAACCCGCGCTCCAAACTCATCCGTCACAGTTCCCGAAGTGCACTGCAGCCCACACCAGTGAGCACCTGATCGCAACGTCGGTTCGCAGATGGGGGGTTCAACTCTGATCACGTCTTGACTGGACTCTGACATTCGCTTCACACACGATTACATCTGCGTCCACTCCACTTCTTAAATTCTTACAGGTCCTATTACGCTCATCTTTCTCCGATACAAAACGGATCGTTGGGCAATGCTCCTATCCTGTGCGAATCTCTCAGGCATACACGGCACGTTATGGTCGAACATGAGACCCAAAGACTTATGTTCAATTCATTACAAAGCTCCGCAGCAAATAACTAAAATATATCAATTCTATCCCGGTCGCCATATTCCCCGCTACATTGTGTTAAGTTATCGTACTGTTTGAAAAAAAAATGCCACTGTGTTTCATTATTCGTATAAAACGGTCTTAATTTTGTTCCGTTACAAGTTCATACCCTAAGGGAACCCATGCAGGATAAAAATTCTTGTTAAGTGCCACAACAAAGAAAGGAAATCCGCTAACCTCTCGCAGTCCAGAGGAGAATCTAGATGAAGAAGTATCATATTTTAAGACGCGCATTTTCATTAAATTCATTCATATGCAGTTGAACGACGTCTTATCAGCTGCATATGTAATGGAGTGTCGAATGGCAGGGGGATTTGTTTTTGATGAATCAGGAAGGGTGTGGAAGGAAGCAGTCGTCGCCCCTTTAAGGATATTATCATGTAATTTGCTTAGACGACGAAAACTCTCAGTCAGGACAGTCCGAAGAACCTCGGAATACGAAGCAAGAGTGTTAACCACTCAAGCACGACGTTTCTTGAATCACATCTACGGAATCCTTTCACATTATAGCCGGGGTAGCGTAGTCGGTAGAGCAACTGGCTTCGGGCTGGACAACCGAAGGGTCGGAGTTCGAGTCAGTCGTCCAGACAGGCTCTGGGGCCCACCCAGCCTTCTATCCAGTGGGTACCGGGGGCTCTTTCCACGGGGTTAAAGCGGCCGGTGCGTGAAGCTGACCTCACCTCCAATTAGTGCCGAGGTCAAGAATATGTAGCTGTATACATCCACTCCCAAACACGCCTTCATGGCATAGTGCTTAATTAGTTAAGCACAGGGACAACTTTACCTTGTACCTTTACATTACAGCTCAGTGTGTGCAGCAACCAGCAACGCATCCAGTTTCGTAGAGCACAAATACGGGAACAATTCAGTGATAGACTATCAAGTGAAACATACGAAGGAGCTAACGTCCAGAACTTCCACTTGCCTCAGGCTAATTAATTTCATGAACTAGCCAACATTCTGATTCAGAATCGCATAGTTTCACTGTAATCTGCATGCAGCCATCTCGGAACCTAACTGAATTTTCCTTGTGCACCAGAAGAAAGATAAGCATTTGCATTTTAGAAGCCATGTGAGACCCGTAGACCTAGTATATTTCAGCATCCCGTTGTATTGAGACATTATCCTATTTCACTAATGTATCCGTCAAAAATACAACTTTAAAAAGACATTAGGAATATGTTGTTTACTAAAAATGAATTTTAATACTATGACAGTACAAATCAACAATATGCCCGTAGGCTATTATGTTAGCATATAAATATACACATTAAAAGTTAATACATTTATTCACACTGAATTCACTTTTAATGTGTAAATTTATGTACTGCGTAAAGGCCTACAGCCATTTTATTGATTTGAACTGTCATAATATTAAAATGCATTTTTAGTGAACAACATATTCCTGATGTTTTTTAAAGTTGTATTATTGACGGATATGTTAGTACAATAGGATAGTGTAGACCTATGTTTCTTCAGAGAAGTTTACAAGCACGAATACTATAAAATTCCTGGACAAAGGAGCTGAGTGATAAGATTATACGTAGAAAGCGTATTTAGCCTACGTGTTTGGCAGCAGAAGCAAGATCCCTCAGATGAATCACTGAAGTCACATAACTGATCAATAAGGAAAGACGATGGAAGCTGTCTATTGAAGAGAATGGTACAAGGAAAATCATTATAGAAAATATGAAATTATAAATCAAAGGTTCCAGAGAGCGAAGTCGGTATGGTTGAGAGATGTTGGAATCAAAATGAACACGCGAACAATCTTGTCTTAAAAGGCGGTTATGATGATATTTTGTATGATTCGAGGTTTTTATGGCTGTGACTATGAAGAATATCGTCTTCTTGGGTGTGGTGTCGTGTATATCTAGCGTAAAGTGACGTTCCGGATGAATGTATCGCCTCCATCTTCAGGGTAGAAAAATCCACGAGCGAGGAAGCAGCTTGAGCAGGTGGCTGCGATGGAGGCGATATGTTCATCCGAAACGTCGGTTTACACTAGATCTACATGACGCCACATCCCAGAAGACGGCTTTCTTCATTAAGATACTTATTTCTATTCACTATGATTGTTGTAGCTAGGGGCTATAATGAAAGTCAGACCTGGCGTTTGGTGAGGCAGACGCCGGGCATCAATAATAAGACGCTGCCCGCCGGTGATAGACGTCCTGTCCGAGGAATCTGCGTTACCTCCACCGCCACTGTCCTCGGCAAGGCTCCACGAGTACTCCATTACACCGCTGCGTTGACGTGCAATATCTAGAGTCCAGTGGCTACTGTTACACTCATAACACAGCTAAAAGTTATGCTAGATTCGGCAGAGCTCTTGACAATAACACTGTAAACCTGGAGAACTCCATCTGCCTTCAATTGCAGCTTGCTTTTTATATTCACACAGCAAGATGTCACTCCTGTCAGTCTTCACTCTTTATAAAACGTTTCGGATTAACTTCACAACTGAAGACAACTATGAAAATGTTACAGCATTACTTGGTGAATGTCAGAAATACGAAGTAAAATTATATATTTAACACTATTACATATTCGGATATAGCCTCCGGAAATCCAGACAACTCTATTTGCAACTACGGCTTACAATCTTCACGTTGGTTACTCACTTCATGGTTCAAACTCACACCCAGAACTGACGCCTACAGAAAGGTCTATCGTTCTGACTTCAGTCTCCGTCTATTATACACTGTAGCATTAACTTGGCACTGTCTGTATTTCTGTATAGTGTCGCCTTTTTCACAATAAAACTTCCATACACACCGAAATAAAAGCAAGTGAGAAAGATCGATAAGTAACAAACGAAGTGGTATTTACTAAAATCCACTGACCAACAGACAGTTTAGAGATCACCATTTTGTGAAGTTCGTCTTTTCTTTCAGAAATGACAAACCATTTCTGAGAATTTCATATTTGAAAAAGCAGAAAGTTCCAATGAAATTAATGCCGAACACCGAAGCGCATATTGATCAATAGTTCTGCATTCCTTAAGTGTCTTCTCAGGAACTGCATGAGCGGCCTAATGAAGAAACATATGCATTACACCGACGGTAAACATAAATGTCTACATTCAATAAACATTCATATGCATATAACAGTGTAAATTATTAGTAACCTTCTCTACAAGGTCTACACTTGTCAGAATTTCAAAGCTGAAGAAGTGCGGACTGTATTGCCTGAAAATATGCTCCAAATTACACTAAACACAGAAGGTACCACAAATTTCAAGATGATTTCTCTTCTGAAAAGAGCAGTTTGTAATTTATTTTCAACTCTTAAAATGGTTGACATTAATATTAATGAAGAATCAAACTACAGTTCCAATCTGTTTGAATTAGAGGTTAATTCGAAAAACGTTAACATTTTGCTAGATTGTTACATAACCTTATATCGGTATAAGGATATTAATGATGTATATTTAAATCTGATTAAATTCCAAGCACTATTATCAGATTACGGCACAAAATAAATTTTCAACGAATTTTTCTAATATCAAATACCGAGTCAGGAGTTAACAATTTTGCCATTTCGCCAACAAGGAATAATTTTATTGTTGAAGTTACGTTTAATTTCACAGCAGTCATTTATAATTAAAAATTAACGTAAGGATAGGCGCTGAGTTTTGCTTTAACTTCAGAACGGGGAAAACATCTTGATTCCGTGCCACTGACCTTTACGAAAAACTGAAACAGGTACTATCATAATACTAAAATGTGGAATACTGAAATGACATAAAACGTAAAATAGTAAGGTCAATTTCAAATGTAATTAATTTTCCACATCACCTAGGTGTTTGGAGAAATTTATGAAACCAATTCGGTTAGCAGCACTGCACAATACGACTCACTACGGATCACAACACGCTGCGCACAGAGACCAACGGGTACTGATATTCGAAGGCCATTTTTCACTAACTCTTTTCGTATCAGAATAAGATACACTTGTCTTTTCCTTTGCACAGGTAAGTAAAGAGGCGTTACTTAGTTACAGTATTTCCACTCACCGCTAGAGGCGCTAGTTATGTACTGAGCGCACTCATTCATTCACTTATTCTCTCTCCTACACAGCTCCTGTGAAGTTCGCACGTTATGCAGCTGTGAGAACCAATCACAAAACGTCTAACAGAAATTTGACCAATAACATGCCATCTGAAAACACGTTCGATTTGTAACGTAAGGTTCTGCTTTTTAATTTCTAACAGGTTTGATACCTTTCCTTTGCTGTGGTCTGCCAGATAGTGGGTGAAAACTATTCTACCGACATAATGGTTGTCCACTTGTGCATGCGCAAAGTGATGCAAAGGTATGATGCACATCCAATCATATTACCACAATTAAAATGGATGGACTACATAAATAATATACTGCTACCATATAGATTGATTGGAAAGTTATTTAATGATGCTAGATCAACCGCACATGGTATACGGACTCGAATGGTGAACTGATAAAGCAATATCCGTTGTGAACGAGGTGAAAACCTATTTGCAGTTAAATAATAATATTTATAAAAGAATCTTCATTGGGCTTGATCAAAGCGAAAATAAAACGGAGGGCGCAGACAAATTTCGGACCGAATGCTTACGAAATACCGGTGAAATACGAGCACACTGCCGACTGCGCTAACCTGCTCGTTCATACATACTTTTACAACGAAAATGGTTGAACTATAAAAACGCAATAAGGGTAACATATCTATTTATCAGCACGTCACTTAGTGACGCATTATTAACCTCCGAGCTCATTTGCATAACTGATTTGTGAGGAAGATTAATGGTGAGCCAGATAATATTAAATACAAGAGGACGCGGATTGTTTGAAGGTGCTACTAGGACCGAGTACACTACTCAGAATGTTCAGAATTGCCAGTTCCCCTACCGAGAATTTAACAGTCTTCTTCTAGTACAGATGCACCTATCAGTTGCATTGCAGCTGAGTCACGCCTGTTCTGTCACTGTTCTAATTGCTAGAATATTATCCAATTCATAATTACATTCGCAGAAAATCACTAATGTCACTCTCGCATGGAAAGCATTGGTATTTAAAGGAGTTCCTCTTGGAAGAGCTCAAAAAATGTCATACAGAATTACTGGGTTTTGGGACTTTTCCCATCATCCGGTATTCTAGAAAATAGAAAACACGACGTTTCGAAAAAAAACAGTAATTCTGTGTATTATACACCATCGTCAGAACCATACAGAATAAATGTGATGTTCTTCCAGTTATATTGTAAACTGTCAGATTACTTGATGATACATCTGCCGAAGATATTAGCGTCGAATGAAATTTCATGTATGATCAGAAGGTAAGAATCTGGAAGAAGGCGATAGAGGGTTATTTCAGCATTCATTTGGAAAAGGAGTAAACGCACGAAAGGCAGAGTCAGGAAAATCTAATCCGGACAATACTGCAATCGGGTACCTGCGGAACAAATTGCAAGCCCAGCTCCAGACCTCCAATCAGTTAACTTCCGCTTAACGGGCATAAACGTGAATAAATCTGAGGGCCTTGGACTTTTGTTCGTTTCAGACAGTTTATGTTTAATACAGGTACCTTTGGGCACGCGGTAGCGTAGTTGGCTAAGGCACTATGCTACAAGCCGGAAGGTCGCGGGTTCAAATCCCGATGAGGTCACTGGATTTTTCAATTGATCTAACTCTTCCAGCCGCAATAGGGGCCTGGAGTCGACTCAGCCTCTAACAGAAATGAGTACGGGGGTTGTCGGAGCGTAAGGCTGGCAACCTCACCACCATGTGTGAGCCGATTGTCTAGAGAATGTGGGAGCCTCGACCTCCACGGCCTCTTACAAGGAGTACCTTTAGGTAGGAAGATCATTGTGCGGGTCACTTGTTAAGTTGTTTATTTAACGACGCTGTGAGTATGGGGCCTACATAGCGTCGGTGATAGGATGACTGATGAATGCGTAGACGGTGGTGCAGTGCGAAGTCATGTTCTGCGCATTTACGGGTATAAGCCATGCGAAGTCAGAAATTCATGCCATAACGTTTAAAATAAAGTTACTGAGCAGTCTATAAGTACAGCTCTCTCTCTCTCTCTCCCTCTCTCTCCCCTCATTTCCTTGATTTTTCCACTGTCTTTCCGTCTTTCTTCTTTCTAAACTAGTCTTTGAGAAAAATACAAACATATTTTTTCAACTGTCCAACTGAATCATTTCCCATCTGCAACAGGAGTAAGCCCAGGAACAAAATTATATAACTACCTAACTCCATAGGGATGAGTTCTTCTTAAGAAGCTACCAGTCGTTCAGCTACCCAAAAATTTCTAAACAGTTTACCGTACATGAAGTTTCATTACCGCGTTCACAAAAGCATTCCACTGGTTTCTATCCTAGGCTAGATTAATCAATCCTGTCCATGCCACTGTATCCTATTTCTGTATCATCCATAATAATATTATCCTCCTACATATTTCTAGGTCTTCTTTGTGGTTCTTCCCGTTTGCCATTCCCACCAAAACCCTATATGAATATCTCTTCTCCTCATGCGTGCTATATGCCCTACCCATCTCATACTCCTTGATTGGCAGAAATAAATATTCAAGCATAATATTTTCTTTAAATTTTGTTATCACCGTTAGGTTCCTATGTTAAACAGTGTCCAAGTATTAAGGATAAACTTACATCTGTTTTCTCCCTTCCAAATATATTTTTCGATAAAGACTGGTTTCAGTGCAATACAGGTTACTGTAAGACTGTAAAGAATGCCTGAACCATTAAATTTGTAATGTACGTAGGTTTAGCAAGCAGAGAGGATTCCAGAACTTCGCGGTATGCACTAATAACTGCCGCAACGGTAGATCTGAAGTCGATATGTAGCAACCTCTCCACTTTCCATCTTTACGTCAGCACTACGCAAAATACAGCACACACATTCATCAAGGAAACAGAACTGGGAATCCCCTTCGTTTCACTCTCGTTTTCAAATGTACATGCCCGAGTACGTCGTGGTAATTAACGAACCAACTACAGATATATTCGACCAACGAAACTAACTAAACAAGGAGTTCTCTAACCAAACAACTAATAATACTTCTTCTGGCTTATTTTGGACTTCATCCATCGTCTGGTATGTAAAAGACAAAAGACCACGACGTTTCGGAGACTGGATCTGTCTCCGTCTTCGGGTGGGTAAGGAAGGATAAAACCTGCTCAGTTGGGCCCGTTAGAAAGAGCTAGTCTTAATCACTGGTCCAACACTATACATGCAGTCTGACATACATACAACCTTGCTAAATAAGCAATAAATAAATATAAAATAATGACGTTAAGTAACAAAAAGTTAAGTAACTACGTCATCATATGCTACACCCTACTTAACGACCAGATGATAATTCAAGATACCGAAATATGTAACTGACTGCTTACAGGTAATGAAGGATTTTCGATCCTAGCATCGGCATTGCATTCGTTGGTGAGGACCCACTCTTACCTCAAAACATATGGGTAATACAAAAACACAAAATATCAGATTATTTGATATTACCAGGAACCAACAAATTACTTCATTTTCCGGTCAAATAAATTGATAATTCTTAATGCATTTCTGTATCATACCAAGAAAGCACAGCAATCCCTCACCATCCTCAGGGGTTAAGTTCCCTTAAATATCTAAAGTCCAAAGCCTTATTCGGAACTGGGGATTAGGGGAGCCGCGGCCACTGTTAAAACTGCTCAAAGTAATTAAGGTGCCAATTTATTCACATACAAACAGAAAGAAAATGCTTTTAAATAAAATACGTCCAGGTAACATAGCAGTTAACACACTGGAATCGCCAGTTTTCTTCTGTACCTTTCAGACTCAACACTAGCAAGTCCATGACGACGATGGCAGTGCTCACTCTCTTCCTGCGCCAGAGATTCGCGTCGCAACAAAAATACGAATAAACGACAAAACTGGACAGAAATGAAAAACTGCCGATACGCAACTGGCGACAGATTTTTGTATAACATTCATATCTTATATAATACATAGGTACTAAAAACCACTGATACTAAACAGTACCGGGGAATTTATTGAACAGATTGTTAGGTGAAGAAGAGGCCGCGCCATAGCTCAAGCGGTTAGTCGCTGGCTTCCCACCGCGGCGGCCTGGGTTCAATCCCGCGGTCTGGTCAAGTGGGATTTGTGGTGGACAAAGTGGCGCTGGAGTAGGTTTTCTCCGAGTGTTTCAGTTTCCCCTGCCTATATTCATTCCACCAACTGCTCCACAATCACCCTCACCTATCATCTGGGGCTGGTACAATAGGCCAGAAGTGGCCGCAGCACAAGGGACTTAGTCCCAACCCACCAGTAATACAAAAATAATAGGTGAAGGAGGAAGAGTTTGTACAATGAAGTATGAAGCACATTCCTGCTTGAGACACTAATCGGATGGCCAAGACCAGTCCTGGACTCGAGAGACAACTATGAGTCTGCATTAGGGTTCATAAGCTGGAGTATAAATAACCCACACTTCACATTTCTTTGCAACCGTAACTGACCCACAACGTACTAATACATTAGTCTCTTTAGCTTTCATGGTCGAAATAAACAATGCAAATCGATGAAAGGAAGGTCATTTGGTGGAATTACGCCAGCCAACGAATCACAAAATCCCTTCATGTATTCTAAGATCACAAAAGAAATTCAAAATTACACAACCATCATTTATACGCTCTAATGAATCGGCAAGAAGCTGTTCACTACTTGGAAAACACACCTCTGATATACTATTAAAAGGAAAAGCAAATATTACTTCTGCTTCAAGAGTCGTGTTATTACACCAACCGTTGCAGCAGACTCTCTCGTCATGGCAACTGAAAATTAAAATGGCTTGTACGAAAATTATTGCTAACCTAATAATTGTCCCGCCGGTCACGGTAGCCGAGCGGTCTAAGGCATGTACTGTCTTCGCTCTACTGGAAACCGGGATCGTGGGTTCGAATCCC